CGGGGGCGGGGAGGCAGAGCAGAGCTGCTTCTTTACTCGCTGCCGGCCAGTGGGCTTCGGGTGAGGAATTCCTTTGTGCAACCTTCGCGGTCCCTCTGTCCCTCCTCCTGCTCCGCTCAGTCACTGCTGGGGCTTTGTCCTGGCTCGGGGAGCCGAGGGCTGAGGGTACAGGGCAGGTGGGAAGCCGAGGGGAGGTGACCACACAACCGTGCAACTTGGCAGTGAGGAGAAGGGGCCCAGCCAGCACCCTGGGAAAGGGCGTGTGCGTGCGAGGCAGTCTCAGCATCCAGCCTCGCGCTTCCTGGGCGCACGCCCTTGCTTCAACCGCCTCCCTTCCCTCGTGGGTGCCACTTCCACTTCTGCGAGGTGCATGGGCAAGGGACAACTGCAAGCTACTTTCTGAACTCCGGGCAGCAAGTTGCCCTGTTTCTGGGCCAGGGGTCCCCATTCCCGGGTGACACTAGCAGCTTTCCCCTCCCAAATCACTCCAGATAGATGTTCCTTCAGTGCGTGCTCAGACTTGCATGGGTCCTGCTGCCTCATCTGCAAGGCATCTAAAGTGTCCTTCCAAAAATCGTTTGGGGGGAGTACAGGGTGTCAGGGTCACACGATTTGGGAAGATGAACACGCTGTCAATGTAGGAAACGTCCAAACCTGTAGTTAATTTTTATGCGTTTACTTAGGCAATGCTGACGACAACTGCCTGGAAGGAAAATCTCAAGGGACTGAGAAAACGCTCCAGAAAGTGGCAGTTTTGCAGCTTCTTTTGTCCATTAGAATCAAAGCAGGAGACGTGAGGGGGGTCACACCACGTCCACTGGTGGTGGATTAAGGGGGCGAGAGAAAGCAAAGCGAGAAACCTCTGGGACCCGGTAAAAAGTCACACGGAGGGACATCCTCGTACACTGGTGGGTGCGGGAGAGTTAACATTTACAGCCACAGAGACGGTATGTGGCCGGGGAGATAACGCTGTGGCCTCGTGTTTCCGTGTGGTGGGCGTGCCCGGAGGGGTCTGCAGAAGGAGATTAGCTGGCCTTCCAAAGGTATGTTATCTTAGATGCACAAAGACAACAAACAGGCTCATTTAAGGTAAAGATTGACCTTTGTCAAGGAAGCTACAGGCCTAGGACGTGAGGACCCGCCGGCTCCAGGGTTTAGTTAGATTCTTACGTTCAGACCATCCTGTGGGGTCACTTTCGGTGTCTCGGTTTGCAGGGCCCCACGCAGGCCGCTCCTGAGCTTGTGAGCTTCAGTACGTGGCCCCCTCTCAGTCGCAACATACACAGGATGCTGTCACTGTACCATCGGCAGGAGAGGGTCGGCTGGCGCTCGGAGAGTCAGCTTGGCACTGAAGCACGGGACTCAGGGTGTGATGAGGGCTGGGGGCTGCCTGCCTGAGCTTCCCTCTCTACCTGTTGCCCATGTGGTGTCTCAAAACCGGGGCCAGCGCACTGTCGCACCGTTGGCGGGAAAGGGTGCTTTCTCTGGGGATAAGCTCGCCTCCCCCTCCCCCTCATGTAGTGGCTTTAGACCAGTGAGGACGGCGGCCCTCAGCCTTCCCATTGTATCTAGGGCTCCAGCTGGCAGTGGCAGAGGCTCCCTTGCTCCCTCAGCATTAAAATGCAAAGAGGAGCAGGGCTGCTTGCTGGCAGGAGGCCAGAGAGGGCTGTGGGGGCGCCTAGTGCTCCGCGGGCTTTCGCAGGCGGCCCTCACTTTCCTTTGTGTGGCTCTGGGGCATTTTAGAGCGGTCTTGGCTTTCATGTCGCGAGTTCTGGGGGTGCTTCGGGAGCTTTGGACTGGGGGGCCTGGGATTGAGAATGCACGTATGAGGCTCAGGGCTTGCCAGCTCCTCAGCAGGCTGCAAGGCCAGTCGGCAAGCTGTGTTTGGCATTCCAGGGCTGAAGCAGAGCTGACTGTAATGCCTAGTCGTGAGGGGGAAGCCACTTTTCCCAGCTCCCTTTCTGAAGGAGAAAGCAAGCTGCGGGCATTAGGGACAGCCGCGCTGCCTCTGGTCCCCCAGGCCGCTTTGGTGTTGATTTGGGTTCAAGTCCTGGTTCTATCACTCACTGACTTTGTGACTTGAGATAACTTACGTAGCTTCTTTGTGTGTCACTGTCGTCATCTGCAAAATAAGGATACCTGTGCGCCTTGAACCTCTCTGTGAGGAGCAAATAAAACAGGCAGGTGGCTGGAGAGGCTTAGTGAATGACCCCTTCCTCCCTGGTCTGCAGGCTGGGCAGGCTCTACGGTGGCGGTGGCGGGCAGGCCACTGGCCTTGCTGCTGTCATTCCAATTTCCCAAGGTAGCAGAGCAGCATGCAGATAGGGGGCAGAGGCCTGCTTCGAGGCTGTGAGGCCCCGCTAGGCTACTGAGGGGCTGTCCCTCACAGTGTTCCTGCGGGGCAACGGCCCTTCTCCCTGGGGCAGAGAAGGATCTTTCCAAACAGTAGAAGAACTAAGATTTATTTATTGATTTGCTTAACATTAACATGTTAAAACATTTCATTTACCTCAGCTTTACGGAAGACAACTGACAGCACTGTTCAAACACTTCACGTCCAGAGACATCAGGGCAGGGCAGGCCCCGACCCCATTCCTGAGACAGGGTGAACTGCTGGGGCCATTGAGCTGAGATAACCTAGAGACGAGACAGGCTCGGCCTCAACCCCGTAGCGGGGGCAGCCGTAAGTGCTCGCAAAATCGGAAAGAGCTACTGTCCTGGGGACTGGCTGCTACTCAGTCCGCAGAAAGGTCAGTTGGTTCTCTGTTCAGCAG